AACAATATAAATATATTGAAGCAAAATGCCTACTTTAATTTGTTCTTTTGTATGGATGTAAAAACAAACTTTTTTCTGAATACCACAGCAAGTTTGGAATAAATCCTCAATCACCATAATATCTTTCAGATTGATCTAACTCAAAGTTTTTGTATGAAGTTGCTCACGTGAAGTCATCTGATTTTGATTTTTAAACAATGCGCGGATTGAAGCTTAACTCGAAATGATTCAAAATTTATTAGAGAAATTAGCGCCTCTTTATCATACTGTTATGTTTTACGAAACAGGTACGAAATGAAAAGTGCATCGATGCATGAATGGCAGCATTGTGAGAAAATTATTGGATTAATATGTTTATTATATTAAATTGTTTGAAGTGCCCTGTGAGAATTTTTCATGAAATATATATATATATAAGCTGAAAAAGTGTGATCCTTTGAACGAAGAATAAAAAATCCTTTTGATGATGAAGTAGAACAATAAATCCCTCATCGTAGAATAAAATACCCTTTTAAGAAAATAATAAACCCTTTTCTCGAAACCGCATATTAAAATACCCTTGGAGATAAAATCATATACCCTTCTCCCTAAATCTCAGATTAATAAACCATTTTTTTCTTGCATCATATTTTTTTCATATACCCTTCGTTTTATAAACCCTTCATAGGGTATATGACATGCGCATAAATCCTTCAAGGGTTTATAGAAAAAAAATCAAGGGCAAGCGTTCATTATTCTGCCCTTTTTTACAGTGTAGCTAGCTGTTTATATAACACTTTGAATCAAACCGAAGTATGCTTTGTTTTTTTTGTGACAAATATTGTTGCTTTTGCCTAGATGAAATAAAATATTAGAAGTCGTGCTTAATAAGCTGCTTCTTACTAGTCTAGAGCAATAATTTTAAGATCTGTCAAAAAAGTCAGATTATTATTCTAGGCGAAAAAAGATAAGTAAATGTTTGTCTCATTAAAAATTCATCTCAATCGGTCGAAGCATGTATATGAAAAATGAAGAAAACTTCAAGTTTACTCTAAAACTATTGGTTTCCGCAACAAAATAAATAGCGTGAAACATTACTTTTTAATAGTTCGGCTTTTTTTTTCGTTGCATGTATAGCTATCGATTAATACACTTTCAAAGCGACTAGGAGGACACATTGTTCATTTACATAAAACATTGCGATGTTGAAATAACTGGATGAATATTTTTCTCTCATTTGTTTCTCGATAAGGTGTATTTAAATGTCTTATTGGAGAAAAAACTTTGAAATTAAAAAAAGTGAATTTTTCGAGTAGACAAAGGCGAGTGCTATTAATTGAAAATATATCGTAGGAACGTTTCTCCTTTGATTTATTTCATTCAGAATGCAAATTGAATGCCTGATTTCAAAATTTTCTCTCTGCAGTTCATAATTTTTGTACATCGATCATTGTTTATTTCATACATTGATCATGAAGAATTGATAACAAGTAAAAATTTTTATCCCTCTCCTGTCATGAACGCTTTTCAGCGATGTCGTGTCAGTTTTATTTAAGTCACATACTTTAAGACTTTTATTGAAATTTCATTCTCATAGTAGATCTGACTTGAGAGCGTGGACATGAATGTTCAATTCGCCTATGCCCACGCAGATATTCTAGAATATCCCCTTTATAAGTAAAACTATATACAGGCATAATCTCCTCTCGAAATACTTTACTTGGGTCTTGAGGGTGTGGGTGGGACCCCGCCACACGGACACCCATACACACATCCATATCGACACCCGCATACACACCCACACATGCGCCAGCTAATTTGAAAAATATTGAAGTCTCAATTTTATATCGAATTTGTACCAACGGTGACCGCACATATCGTCGCACGACATTTCGTCGCGTTCACTTCGTCGCAATCATTTCGTCGCAGAACATTTTGTCGCACGACACTTCGTCGCAGAAAAATTCTTTTCGTTCTGTTCGTCCCTATCGATTTGTCTCTTCTCTCTTAATGAATTTTTTGTGTGTATAGCCAATGGAAAACTTATCAGTTAATTTCTGTGTAGTTTGTGCATGCTTAACATACAACATCATGAGGAATAGATTGAGAAAAAAATATAAGCAAAAAACCAAAACTAAAGAAAAAAAATGATGTGAAGAGTTATATTGGCTGCTATATTTTTAAGAATTGATCTAGTTGAGATGAACCGAGGGAGTTGATCAGTTGAATTTTAATGCCAGTTTTTAATTAGATAATATGAAAACGACCGGGCTTCGGAGCATGAGAGTGTGATATTAGTGCTGAGAGAAATGTGTTCAAGGATAAATTGGCATAACAATGAGTTTTATTGATAAATGATTTTTATTTCAATTAATTGACTGATGTTCAAAAAGAGATTTGCTTTACAATCTTGATTCTGAGATCGAAGAATAAATTCCGTCGTTATTGTACGTTTTTTAGTAAAGATGTAACCTTGGAGCATCATTGCTTTTTCTTTTATAAAAAACAGTTTTCCTGTTTGAGACATTTTGCTTGAGAAGTAGTGAGCATTGAAAGTTGAAATTGAGAAGTGAAATGTATTTCTTTTATTTGGCATGGTTCCATAGTTAAAAATCTCGGATCAGTGTTTTTTAGTTTAGATTACACTGAAATTCATGAAGCGAGCGAGCATTTTGATTGGTCTTTATTAACTTTAGCACTATCACAATTAAATGAGAATACTATTTTTTTATTGATCCTTTTACCGAATAAAAATGATGTCTTAGCACAATTAATTATCTATCACTTTTGTACACATCTCTGGTAATTTTTCATTTAATTTATGCTATTTCCATTGGTTATACACAAAAAAAATTCATTAAGAGAGAAGCGACAAATAGATAGGGACGAACAGAACGAAAAGAATTTTTCTGCGACGAAATATCGTGCAACAAAATGATTGCGACGAAGTGAACGCGACGAAATGTCGTGCGACGATATGTGCTAGTGCCGTACCAACAGAGCAAGAGACATGACCAATCGATTACGAATGATTTCTAAGAAACTAGATAATGATGTGTTAAACCAAATAGTTGTTTACAGTTGATTTGGATTTAACGTAATGTTCAATCGACTGTTTTTCTTGGTTTTAATCAAGTTTAATAGATTTTTGGCGATTTAAGTTCAAGTGATCAAAAACGAACGGAACTATTTTATACGGCGAAGAACAGAAGAGTATTAAGGAAAAATGAACAAATCTATTCGACATAATGCACGTGAGTTATGAAGGAAAAAAACTATGCAGTTCCATGTTGTCAGTAGAATAGAATGCGGCGAATCAGCATGATCTTCATTTAAGTGTAGCTGAAAACAAGAATATGCTGCTGCAGCAATTAGCCTATTATAGTGACGTCCGTCTGAAAAACGTGTATTTCGTCAAAACAAGAAGAAAAGAAAATGAAGTATTCGATCCTTTTTCAATCCTCCTCTCTCCGAAAATTTCGCCTTTTCTGCTTATTATACGCTCGTCAGAATATGCACATTTTACCGATTAAACAAACGAAGTAATTATAACTTGTATAGTCAAAAGAATGTAATCATACGAATAAATGTAATATCTTACCATATGTATAAATATATCCAAATTACAGTATGATTTTATAAACAAAAAATAGTTTGACATCACTGAAGTCTTACACATTCACTGATGCTCACTCGAACACTTCTGATCATTTCTATTTTGTATGGTGGTTCAGCTCTCGGTAAATATAGTGGACAGGCTACTGTTACAATGTCAAATCGTATTTATTTAGGACACTTAGTTCCCTTTCATCGTTATGTTCAAACGTCGAATCGGCATTTCTACACGACAAACGCTGAAGAAATTGGTACTACCTTTGTAGGTGATACAGAACAATATGACTTTAAATATGAGAAGATCGCATGCCAAATATTTGATCCCAAAGCTTCGCAGCCAGCAAACACTGTCCCTCTTTACCGCTTCGTTAGCCAAGAAAAATATTATTTTTACACAACTAGTCTGCAGGAATTCGATACGAATGTGCCGGATGTGAGTATGGACTTTTGGAAATCAGACGGTATTGCGGGTTACGTCTACTCGGAACAAAAAGATGGAACAGTTCCTTTTTATCGCTACTACAACAGTCTTCAAGACGAATACTTCTACACGACGAATGCCGGTGAAATTGGAACGGTAACTCCTGGAGCTGTCGGGAAAGGTGGCTATAAATCCGAGGGTATCGCTGCTTATGTAATATCGTAGGGTTCTCGTCATCGGTCTTCTGGAGTTAAAGGGCTAACCAAGCAACTTGCGGCACTAATACAAGATATTATTCTCTTTAGCTGAAGAAGAAATAAAAATTTGAATGTATTTCAATCTGATTTTTCCCATTTCGAAAGGAGTCTTTTGAGAAAAACTGATTTTTTTCTATTTGCCTTTCGCCTGTGGCTCAACAGATGAGAGGGACGCAATGACGCGCTAATGCTGGTGTACTAAAGAATGGCTGGCTACTACAACAGTGATGAGAACCCTTCATTATATCCTTGAAATCATTTTGAATGGCGATAAACCACGATATCTCGAAATAATAATCGTGCACTGAAGTGCAATCAATCACCGTTTTTTGAGATAGCAGATGGGCCGGTATAGTCTCATTCGTCTGTTCTAATTTTTCTTCATTAGATACACCGTACAGAAAATTCTGTCGTTTCTAATGAGTACTTCCATATTTCAAGATTGTAGCAACTTTCAAATGATCTCTCCGCGACGGATCCTTGATTTTAAAAATGAAAAATATGAGTTTGAAGATAATCTCCAACTCCAATGAAATGGAGATCTCATCCTGATACCACATAATTATCAAGAAAAGATCATTTTTCTGTTAAATTTATTCGTAAAAAATAAAACGGCAGAGTAATGGTATAACCAACAAGCTTTTAAGAAGTAACCACTTCATGTTACAGGCTGATATAATCGGTTTTGTCGACGTATCATTCCGCATTAAATTGTATTCCATTAGCGGTGTGGGGGTGAGGGTTTGGGTGTGAATACGGGTGCGGGTGCGGGTGTGTTTTGAGCTAACCGTTACGCGTCTCGACCTCGCTTAACGGACTCATCAGATTGCTTCATCTTTATAACTGTTCCATGATTCAAAGAACGTGAACAAATTTCTGAGTCTATATTGCTAGGGGGAGTATTTCGTGATTTTAAATCATTGATACGGAGTTACGTAATTAGCGGTTGATATTTGTTTGTCTTTGGAAATTATTCAAATGTGCAAGGTGTGTGGGATTGAAGGATCTTCCCATAGTTGCTATTATTCTTGGCGTTGTTCCTGAGGGTCTGTTTTGAGTTGGTATTTTTAAATTAGTTACGTGACATTAAGCTTCTCGTGCTTTTGCTTTGTATATCGAATTGATTGAATGGTTCATTCGGAAATGTGATTGAGGGGATGATTTTGATGATAATCTGTTTAGGTATTTATTCACATATGCGTTTCTGACTGTGGTGCTACGGATGCAGCTAATGTGGTGATTATAGTGGATGTCTTATTTGCAAGGTAGAGGTTTTACTATCTAGTATTACTTTTCATATTTTCTTTCAATAGAGAGATGTCTATTTTTTATTTATTGATAACAGCACAGGATGTGAAATATATTAAGTTACTGACTTGTTTGATTTGATTGAATACTCGCTGCTTGTTGATCTGGCTGAAGTTGCGTTTTGCGCTTTTTGTTGCTTCTAGCACTTGAAATATGTTTGATCATTCTTGCACACAATTCTTGTTTCAAATTCTGATTCTGATAAGTTGCGAACATAAGAACAGTATTGATAACTTCTGTTCCATGAAAAACACTGTTCTATAGTTCGTGAATCTTGAGGGTGTCGGTGTGGGGTGTGACAGGTATGTATGTGGATGTGCGTGAGCATATATCTGTGACTGTGGGGCATGACTTTTGGTATGGTAATGTTTTGGTGTTGGTGTAAATCTAGGTCTGAGTACGGTTCAAGTGTGTTGGTGAAGATCGTGTTTGTGCATGTTGTATCAGGAGATATCTCTCCTGACATAAGGAGACTCCATGTTGGTATGATATCATCACTGTACATCAATGGCATTCTTACTCCTCTTTTTCAATGGCTCTTTCATCATGGGTAACGGACGATAAAGAATGGAATAAGAGAAAGAGAGAGAATTACATTCTTTGTTGTTTTTCTTGTTTGTAGATTCATTCGCTTGTTTGGTTTTGAAAATAAAGGAATAAGAATAATAAAGAAAACGGGAAAAGGACCTAACAGTGCACGTATCTGTTGGTGTGTGGAATGTGCAATACAAGTGCCATGTTGACTTTCTTGTGATCCACGAAACCCCACACCCACACCCATAGGTAGATATTGGTGGGAAGAAAACCGAGGAGGAAATACAGTTATCTGGAATCTTCAATATCAAGTACCTAAATCGATTTTGTTGAAAGTTTCAGTTGGAAAGCTTTCCTAAACTAAGCTAAGAGTAGCATAAAAGGAATGTGTTACTCAGACGTATGTCAAAAATAATTTTAGATCCTTACTATTTTTTAGCTAGGAGATATGGTCAGCCGAATATTTGTTAAAAAGCTACTTTTCCCTTTATTAGTGGCATAATTTATAAAATGCAAATCTGAATCTATTCCTAAATTATAAATTGGCTGCCAGT